ATGATGACAACAGCACCTCCTTTATCAGCCTCTTTGATGATAATGTCAGGGCGGGTTCTGAGGCTGTGGATGACATTGCGTTCTGCACGACTTAGGTTATGAGGCAAGCGATGTTGTTTTTCCACAATTTCTGCCTGTGCACATCGGCGGAAGCATTCTATGTATAGGTCCAGACTGTCATTTCGACCCTCAGGAGGAGTCCATGTGGAGTTCTTCTTCCTGTGTTGTTGGTGGGAGGGTATCTGTGTATCAGTGTGCTGTTCAGTGTTATCTTGAAAGTATTCTTTGAGTCGGAGGCGGCGAAAGTAGGCTTCCAGATCACCACAGAACTGTATCATGTTCGTGGGGGTGCTGGGGCAAAAGGAGAGACCCCGAGATAGGACAGACTCTTCTGCTGGGTTGAGTGTGTAGCTGGATAAATTGACGATATTGCTGGGTGAGTTAGGGGTACCCCTGTTGTGGCCCCATGTGGCAGATAGGATTTTAGACAGCTTACGGTCCTTTTTCCTTTGTAGAGAGGTGAAGTGTGTAATGTAGATTTCCTGTCTTATTTTAGTAAAGTCCATTTGTGTGGAGGGTTGGTTATTTATGAAAGTCTCCAGGTTGGAGAGCTCTTTCTTGATGTTTTTCTGTTTGCTGTATAGGATGCTGATCAGGTGGTTCCTCAGTTTCTTTGATAAAGTATGGCATAATCTCTCACTGTGGTCTGTGCAGTATGTAGATAGCAAGGGATTTTTCACCTTCAGTCCATTAGGTATGATGTCTATCCGTTTGCATTTGGAAAGGAAGATGATATCTGTCTGTATTTGTGCAAGTTTCTTCATGAGGTTGATAGATTTCCATTCCATACGGCTAAATGCAGTGCCTTGCATGGTGTCAAGTATCAGAGGGGTTGATTGCTGTGTGGAAGCTGGTGACTCCAGACTGCTACCGATCAGTCGCAAATTAATTTGGAGTTGGGAAGTGGACCATTGAGTTTAAATTAAGGCAAGTGTGCAGGGCAATTAATTGCATCCTGCTACAAAGTACCGTGAATCTGGGAAATTTGCATAACATAGTGGACAGCTTTGTGGAGGGGTGATAGATGGCAAGCATGTTCCAATTTTAGCACCAGACCACCTTGCAATGGAGTACATCAATAGGAAGGAGTACTTCTCCATGGTGTTGCAGGCACTTGTGGATCACTGTGGGCATTTCACTGACATCAACGTAAAGTGGTCCAGGAAGGTGCATGATGCACGCATCTTCGGGAACACCGGCATGTATAGAAAATTACAAGTGGGGACTTTCTTTCTAGACCAGAAGATTATAGTGGGGGATGTTGAAATGCCCATAGTGAACCTGGGAGACCTGGTGACCCTTAGAGCCATGGGAGACCTGGGAGACCCTTACAGCCATGGCTCATGAAACCTTACACAGGAAACCTGGACAGCAGTAAGGAGTGGTTCAACAACAGTCGGAGTAGGTGCCGTAATGTAGTGTAATGTGTCTTTAGCAGATTAAAGGCGCGCTGGTGATGCCTTTATGGCAGGTTAGACCTCAGTGAGAATAATATTCCCATGGTCAAATCTGTATAATCTCTGTGAAGCTAAGGGTGAAAGATTTGCTCAGGGGTGGAGTGTTGAGGAAGACTGCTTGGCTGCTGATTTTGAGCATTTTGAGCTGATTTTGAGCAGATACCAGGGCTATCAGAGGGGCCCAGAGGGGGGCAACTGGAATCAGGGCAACTTTGAGGCAACACTTTGAAAATGAGAACCAGTAATATATATCTCTATGATTGGTGCTGCAATGTTACATTACATGTAGTTTTCCTAGGAAGCAATGGTGAAATTTGGGGCCATACATTCCAGTAAGCAAATTATTAAACTGCCTATGTATATACTGGTAGTGCCTGCTATCTCAATTTGTAGGAAACAAATCATTATTATTATTACTGCACAAGAAACAACACACACAAAGACGCTTGATGGGAAAGGAGTTACCAGGGAAGGGCAGACTTTCAGAGCTGTGTGTAGGTCCAGCTATCATTTTGAAAGTTGTCCAAGGGAGTGGAGTGAAGGGGAAACCGAGAAGTCCCATAAAGCAGAAAGGACTTTGCAGGAGGAGGTTTGGGGTGGGGGGGGCTGGAAAAGAGTTCTGAATATGCTATAGGGGAAGGCAGGCACACATCTGCTCAGTCTGCAGCATTATTAAGGACTTCTGCATCTGCATTTGCTCCGCAATGACTTTAATCATCCGCTCAGTAGCATCCTTAACAAACTCCTGATTTTCTTTTCTGTCCTGCCTTTTGGCTTCCCTCCACTCCTTGCATTCCCTTTTCTGTGCATTGGAGAAGTACAGTACCTCGCGGAACATGTCTTCTTTGCTCCATCTTGAGCGCTTTCTTATTTGGCGGAGACACTTGGCCGGTGTGTGTGTGTGTGTGGGGGGGGGGGTGTTACTCAAGGCCACATCTGCCAAAGCACAAGGAACAATGCAGAGAAGCGTGATTGTCTAGTTCACGCACAGTATTGAAACATTTCAGTAAAATACACCTCTGGTAACATAACAATCACTTTCTAACTGATCTTTGGCAAGCTCACATCTTGGTGAGTACCCAAAGCATGGTGTGTGTTGGCTGGGGGCACTCTACATGGGGAAAAGAGCACTCTGCAAGTGTTGCATTGCAGCCAACTAGGGGGAAAATTCTAAAATTCTCCCACACTTTTCCACAGGCTGGGGTCATTGTAGCAGATATCTCACTGTTGGGGTCATTGTAGCAGATATCTCACTGTTGAGGGTAAGCAGGAAAGCAAGGGCACATCTACTCCATGCTTGTGGCTTCCCCCGGGTCTCTATGCTGCCTGCCTGTGTGCCGCTTTGGTCCCTGCACAAGTGATTGCCGAATGGCGCGGGAAAGTTTCCTACAATGGGGGAAGGAACAAGGTAGCTCTGCCAAAGAACCTTCGGCAGAGGATTGCCGAATACCTCCAGGAAACTTTCCTAGGGATCTCTCTGGAGGATTCCAGTGAGATCTCAGCATGCATCAACACCCTGTTCCACCGTACTGATTAGCTGCACAGGGGAATGTCCAGCACACAGAAACACAGCCAGCCTTGTACATTTCTATACCTTGAACCCAACTCTGCACTACACAAACCAGCCACTACCAGGTGTCTCCTCTCCTGCTTCTTGCTCTCCAGGGAGCAACTGCTGAGACTGGCTAGACACCTCCAAAGTGGTGAACAGTTCCTGGCTGCCTGCCCCACTGGACAACCCCGCTGGGAGTGCCACATCATCATCTAATTCCACCTCTTCATCAATGACTTTGTCCTCCAGGTTAGGTCCTCTTTCCACTGCTTCCAGACCCGCCAAAGTATCCATGGGGCTCTTGGCAGTGGAGGTGGCGTTGCCACCAAGGATAGCATCCAGCTCCTTATAGAACCAGCAGGTCTTAGGTGCAGCACCGGAGCGATGGTTTGCCTCCTTCGCCTTATGGTACACCTGCCTCAGCTCTTTTATCTTTGCACTTCAGTGTGTCCTGATCATAGCCCTTTTCACATAAGCCTCGATAAACCTGCCCATAGGTATCAAAATTCCTATGGCTCAAGCGCAGCTGGGACTGTACAGCCTCCTCTCCCCATGTACTGAGCAGATCCAGCAACTCCACAGTGGTCCAAGTGGGTGAACATTTGCTGAGATAAGCTGCCATGGTCACCTGGGAAAATGCGATGAGACCTCTCCAGGCTGAGCCAACAGGAAATGGAATTTCAAAAATTCCCGGCCCGGGGCTTCGAAGGGGGATGGGTGAATGTAGTTCAAACTGCTGACCAGAGCGGTCAAGAGGGGAATTGTGGGACACCTCCTGGAGGCCAATTAAAGCGATAAAATCAAGTGTGTCGTCTACACTGGCACTTTGTCAGCAAAAATTTTATGCAAAAAGCCTTATGTCTCTCGTCAGGATGGCTTTATTTTGTTGCCAAAACAGGGCATTTTCACCGCCAAAAGTTGCATCGCAGAGTGAATGTATTCACTCTTTTGTCGACAAAACTCTATGGTGTAAACAAGGCCTTAATGTTTTTTTGTGAAACTGGCAGTCCTGTAGCACCACATTTTAAAACTTGACTTGTTGACTGATTTTTTGGGGGGAGTGTTAAATATCCATCTCATTGTGATGACTAACTTGCTGTTTTAACTCAGTCTATACTGGAAGCATTAAACACACACACACACACACACACACACACACACACTGAGAAAACAATCAATTTAAGAACATCAGAACAAGTCAACATAGCCACTCATGTCACTATGTTTGTGTGAAGACTCTATAATGTTTGACAGATTACTTTTGATCATCTCTTCTTTAGATTACTTTATTTTATTTTTGTAAAACAAATGGCTAAATGTATTGTCATCTGTCAGCAGGTGAATAAATTGCTAATATTCAGTAAAAGGTTTTTGCTCTTCAGATGTCTAGACAATTTTGATACAATATTTCAACAGCTGAAACAGAAGTCGATTTATATGACAGCAACAATTTGTGTTCAGTACTCATACAATAAGTGTATTTAAAAGAAGTTGCAGAAGACAACCTAGTGGTTTAAATAGGAAACTATTTAGTGTTGTGAAATGAAGAGAGTAAAAGTGGAATACTATGTCTGCATCTCTGTCTTTCTTTTCTCTGACAGGTTGATAATGTATGGCTTTGTGAAGGCCATGCTACATGTTGGCCAGTTAAAAGGAGGGGATTTTCACTTCACGGACTGTTTATTTTTTGGCTCGTTGATGTCTGCTACAGACCCAGGTAATTGTTTAATTTTTTTTTAAATTTTTGGCCACAAAACTGTCAAATGTGGAGACCAGAATATAATGTTTCCATCTGCCTTCCTGATTTTACTCCATTTGCTGTTAAATAGCTGATAGATATTCTCGTAACCAGAAATGTTAGGTCAAAAGAAACATTTCACTATCTGGAAAGATTCTTCTCTTATTTATGTTAGTAATTAGTTTAATTGTGCTTGTTTAGTCCACAAACTTTGAAATGTTGAAATGGACCAAACTCTAGAGGATGCCTCCCAGTGTCACTAAGGAATAATAATACTAGGAGATAGATGCTTCTGTTCTAGATATGCAGTGTCAAATGTAACATTGATGTAAGTGGGCGTACCCTCCCCACTTGCGTATTCCTCCCCCTTTTTAGGTCCTGATCCAGTTCCCAGTAAAGTCAATAAGAGTCCTTCTATTGACTTTAATGGGAGTTAGATCCTGCCCTTAATTATCAATATGCTTATAGATTTTCCAATTGTAGATACCTTAATTCCTGATAGATTGTCATTGCATATGTAATAATATGTGTAATATAGAAATGGGCCAGAACTAAAGCCCCAGGTCCACACATCCCTGAACTTTGGGAAAGTTCTGATCCAGATCCAAACTTTGCAGCCCAGACCAAACTCTAGGAATCAGCAACCAATATTACATGTAATTTAATGCCTACTTATGTAAAGTACCTAAACCATCTCCAACAGCTCTTCCAATATTCAGTCTTGTCTTGTTCTCTCATCCAGTTTCAATATTTCAGACAGTGTTATTTGGTCCCTTTAATTCTATCCATGCATTTTCAATTTCTCAAAGAGATGGAAATTTGAATTAAATGCTTAATTGCTTTAATGATAGACAGTCAAAAGCATTTCACTGTGGTGTAGGATCTGCTAGTGGACATACAATAGAATGTTAACCATAAAAACTGTACTAATAAGAGAACTTATTCTACTTATTATTGTTCAAATATTGGACCTTGATGTGTGCTGCTAGACTAGGAATGAGAGTGGCAATTTGACATGATAATTGGTGATCTCCTAACAAACGAAATTATCTGGTCAAATGTTATAGAAATAAAATGGAATAATAAATTACTAGCTAAGTAAACATTGTATTTTCCACCTGATTTTTCATCAGTACATTGGATTACAAGGTGTTGTTTTTTAAATAAATGGATTGTAATTGCCCTTGGTTGTGAAAAGAGATTAAGCCTAAGAAGGTGGTAAAAACTGATCTGTTGACAAGGCAGAGGTTGTTTCATATGAACTTCTTATTTATCAGATTAATGACAAAATGGAACAATTTTATATTATATGTGAAGAATATAGCTCTTAGAAATTTAAACACAGATATGCAAATGAGAGGTACAGAATATTGTGACATAAGTGTTGAGAATGGGAAGACAGTGATGTAGCAGTCTAGGACTTGTTTTTTGTTTGTTACTTTCTCATACATAGTTTTATATAAAATCAATAAAGAAGAGGTTCTCCAAAATGCAAGATGCTTTCCCACTGAACTTGCATATGGACTTGGACTACCACTGTACTTGTGTTTGGACACATTGGGGAAACTGGGTCTTTGGACACAGTGGGGAAAGTTTGAGGGTCTTGAAAATATACCTAATACAGATTAAATCTGGAAACACTGCAAGATACTGTAGAGACTTATGAAAATGTGTTCATCTATGAATGAAAAACTGTAATACTGAGAATTTCCTAAAATACATTTTAATATTTTTCATTGCCTAAATTTTTTGTTAAATTCCCCTAAAAATTTCTGCATTAAGTTTTGGGATACCTGGGAAATCCCTTCTGATTTCTGGAATGTAACCACACCATCTCTGCAATACAGCCTTTTTATTTTCCATGGCCCGTAGAAAACAAGTTCTGTCTGTCCCTATTGAATCTTTCATTCTACAAAATATGTCTTACCCTAATAATTCTTTAGAATTATCAGGAGAAGACAACGATGTTCCAGGCAAACCTTCAGATGGTTTTACTTCATTTTACTTGGAAAAGCACAGGCTTCTATATGCAGAATTCTCCCTTCTGTGCTTATATAAATGTAGTTTTAAACACCAGAGTTATGTGTATACTTTTTATAATGCTGATCAAGTGGCATAATTTATCAAAAGTAAAGCAAATCAGATGTAATTGGAGGTATCATCTATTCTCATTACAGAAGAACATAATCAATCAGCTGAGAACTCTTGTGATCAACTGGATAATTAGTGCTATTACAGGTGCAGCTTTAAGTACCTCAAGTTTTGTGGCTAACTAGATAAGATACTTCAGTAATGTTGAAGTATTAACAAGAGGAATTTAGTCCTGCTTGCCTGCTTTTCCTGGCTGAGCTTGCATTATTAAAAATGTTGCTTTTGTTAATTTATTAAGCTAAATACATTGCATCCTAACCTGCTGAGGGTTTGCGCTATGATTTTATTGTTATTATGTGTATGAAAAGAAAAAAAAAGGGGGTTCCTTTTCTTAATTTTGGTTTTACATTGTTTTATAAGACTTCCTAAAATAAAAAAATAAAACCAGATTATTTTTTAATATCTCATTTTATAATTCAGTATGGGCAAAGAAGGCATTCAGATTACTGAGAACAGTTATGTCTGAAGCAACCCCTCTCTGCCACATTCATACTAGTGACATTATTCAAACGTATAGAGTGAGGAAATATTCAGGCCCAGATTCTCAGCTATGATTCTGCCAACAGTACTATGGGGCTGATGCAGCAGCTAGGAGTTATGGGGGTGTATGGACCCCCCAATAGAGTTGGTTGCAAATATTTTCATGGAAAATTTGTCCCTGTTTTTGTCATTTCAAAATTCAACACACCAGCCATCTCCTCTATACCAGCATCAGCAGGTGGTGACTTAGAAGCCACAATGTGGAAACTTGTCCTGAGCATCAGAGATCCACAGCAGTTGAGATCCCCATGCAGTACATTATTTGTAACAGTGTCCCAGGATGGGTCATCTGCAAGGACTGAGTTTGGGAGCTCTGGATCTAAAAGCAGGACCCTATACTGCTTGACACATAGTAGCAGACCCATAAACCTGTTAAGCGTCCAACCATAAGAGGGAAACAAAGATTTGCACATGGTTAATGTAGCTCTACACCCCCTGTGATCCCCATATGCCATGATGATCTTCTCTGGTCTAGATAACCCCTCTTTAGGGTTATTTTCCACAGGGAGTCTAGTACTGTGCAGCTGCACTGTGGTGCATGATCTGGGCCTCAGTTTATATAGCAACACAGCTGGAAATAGTTGATTCAAATAAGTAAGTCTGAGTATATTGTTCCTATCCGGTGAAGAAACAAAAATGTCAGTCTTCCAAATACATGTGTGTTACCAGATTTGCCCATTACTTTGGAGTATGCTCATTTATTAGGGTTACTCTTTGGGACGGGGAGGGTCTTTAATTCTATCAATGTACTGCTTGTGTCACATGTGTTTTCATATGGAGCTCTACTTCTCCCTTCTCCAAGTCCCCTCCCAGTGGAGCTTTCCTGCAGGACCTAGGTTCCCCAGGGCTGGGTTCCTCCAGCCCCAGAACCAGATGAATGAACACACACACACACACACACCCCTACCTACCTACCTGAGTGGACTGGGTCAATCAGCACTTTTAAGCTGACCCCTTATATGTCCCTGGACTCAACAGGCTGGGCCAAGCAGCACTGTCAAGCTGCAGCCCTTATATGCCACAGGCATCGCACCGGAATAGAATAAGCCTGAGCAGGCTGGGTCGAACAGCACTTCCAGGCTGCCACCCTTATATGCCCCTGACTCAGCGGACTGGGTCAAGCAGCACTTTCAAGCTTCTACCCTTATATCCCCCTGGACTCAGTAGCCTGGGTCGAGTAGCACTTTCAAGCTGCCACCCTCATATATCACAGGTTCAGCACGTCCCTATCCCCGCTTTCACATTACAGTTGTACTGGTAATAACCCACTTGATGAGCAAACCCCACAGTATTTTTGGGCGCTACAGGGAGCTTTAGCTTAAGTAAGAGAAGTGTTGCTGCAGAGTAATTGGGGAAGCTAAAAACACAAAAGAGTAAAGTTCAGAGAGGCAAGCAACCAGCTTAACCTCTATTATTTATTGAATAATAGTGATAACTACACAAGGAGAGCCTAAACCAACATAAATTACATTATTAAAGGTTACAAAAGTCATATATAGAAAACTATACCTGATCAAACAAGTCAGGGTTAGAAAGTTCTACCTGATGTAGAAAAGAAAACAGAAAGAAAGGGATCTCACCACTTCCATGAAACTTGTACTGGTCAGGGTTCCCAGGTGACAGGCAGAGCCCCCAGCACGATCAGTCAGGAGAAGATGAAATCCCAGTGGAACTGATGCAGAATTTGGATCCATGCATCAGAATACATTTGAGTGTGGGTAGGAGTTTTTTGCGGGCAAACAACAATGGTTCAAGGGAGAACATTAGATTTGTTTATGGGTAAACTGATGACTCAAGGGTTTTCTTTAAGCTAGACAATAGGAGCTGATCACATGGGTGGTGTTCCTTCCAGGGAGCTCACAATGCAAGTAGGCTGCTTCAGTATTTTTGATATCAATCAAGGATTTATTACTAGAATTGGTCTGATAACTACTGAGCAGGGTGTGTGCAGTCATGGGTTCATTAACATCTGGAGCAGAGATCCCCCATCATGCAGTGCTTCCCTGCTTTTCTGGTCCCAGAGTTCGGTGCGGTTCTTGCCTTGGAATCTCTGTTCTCCATTCTGTATGCTAATGGAGATGCCTCCCTGTCCCATCTTTGATGCAGATGAGGCTAGGGGAGTTTCCTTAATCCTATCACCCTTGTCAGGAGGGGTCTAGGTGTGTCTCCCACCACCCTTCACTGCTCTCTGCAAGTCTTTTCACTGATGGGTTTTGGTTCAAGCAGAGGCTGAAGGGGAGAGGGGATGTCCTTCATGAGTCAGACTGGCTAGATACTGCGCCCTGGTT